GTAAAAACATGCATAATCATATTCTGTTCTAGCCAGCCATGACCTACACTTACCACTCTTGTGTTTATGACTCATCTCAGGGTGGCAAAAGATCTTGCATGAGTCAGAGATCACTGGTAAGATCACTGTGCCCAAGAGCTGAGTGCTGGAGGAAATGCCAGGAGAGGACTCACTGAAGAGCAGGCACAGGAGGCCTTGAAAGCTTAATCAGTGATGCTAATCAAGGAGAAGGCCTGGGGCAGCCGGCAATTGCACCACAGGCACAGGTTAGCTGCATAACTTCTGTGATTATTCAGCCCCTTTGGGTTTCATATTGCCTTTGCCCGAGGAAGGGGTTGGACCCTCCCAGCTCTAGTCTCTTCTGATCCTCTGACAAATCCCTTAGATCTCCCTTTAAAATATGAACAAAGAACTTTAGAAGAGCATTATTAAATTCCTTCTCCATTTGTCCCTAAAGAATCTCCTTAAACTCTTTCAAAATAATTGCATTATATGTCAATGTGTCTGTTTAAGCTACATCCTGGGGAAACTGTAAGCTTTGGAGGCAGACAGATCTCAGGTCCAAGATCAGTGGGAAATAGTAAATACATAGATGATTAAGACTCAGTTCCTGCCCTCAGGATAGGTGATACAGACAATGAAATGAATAAACCTCAATAACCATAGTAATTAAGGTGTAAAAAATTGAATCTTCCCAGCTCTATATCACTGCTAGGAAGCAACCAATAACCCTGCCTGGAGGAATCCAGGAAGGCTGTCTGTAGAAGGTGATCTGGGCTACAGCAATAAGAAAAGAAGGATCTGAGAAGGTCACAACAAAGCAGAGGTTACAAGGGAAATTTAAAACAAACAAATAGTTGTCAATGAGTTGATTCTGATTCAGGGAAACACCAAGTGTTTCAGGGCAGAACTGCGTTCCACAGGGTTTTTACGGCTGTGACCTTTCAGAAGTAGATTGCCAGGTCTTTCTTCCAATGTACCTGGGGGGGGGTTGGAACATCAACCTTTTGGTTAGTAGATCAGAGTTAACCATTTGCATCACCCAGGTTGTTCTGAATGGTGAAGAGTTTATCAGGGCTGTAACATGGTCTATGCTGGGTAAGGTGGAGGGTCAGAGAAAAAGAGGAAGACCCCCAAGGAGATGGATCAGCCAGGTGACATCATTGATGGCGTCAAGTGTGGCAGCGGTAGTGAGGTTGGCCCAGGATCAGACATTGTTTCATTCTGCTGTGCATGGGGTCGCTATGAGTCAGTTCCAACTCGATGGCACCTGACAACAACAACAACAACAACATGGTCTATAGCCTAAAATATTCCCACCACTCTCCAGAGCCCTCAGAGCAAGTAAGACCCTGACCTATGTGCTGGGCCAACGCTCTGGAAGAGAAAAGGAAACAATTATAATTTACCATCTTGGAACTTTCAGAGTTACTTTTTATTGAGCACTTGCTGAATGGAAGGTGGGACACTAAGCAGTTTATACACATCCAGTGATTTGTCCTGAAGTGTGATATGCAAGTCCCTGGGATTACATGAGATGATTTTCAATGGGACATGGAGAAATATTTCCATTTTAATAGTTATGTACTTCTACCTCAATTTACTTTTTATGTGGCAGGTAGCCTTGGCTTTTATTTGCAATTCTATAAGTTTCCTTTTAAAAATAAATTTAACCTTGGAAACATTACTCAACTTAAATTAAAATATTTATTAAGAAAACAAGTAGGGGGTACATGGCTATGGCAAAGTTTGCAAGGGTGATACACGACTGGCTGAAATTCAGGAAACATTGTATTTTCGTATATAAGCATGTACCTCATTCAGAGGTCTTTTGGTTGCAAGTAGGAGATATCCACTCAAATCAGCTTAGGTCAAACTAAGAGAATGTATCCTGACCAGGCATTCTCAGAGGACTCCAAGTGGGCATGCAGATGAGCCTGAAGAAGGTCTGGGCCTGAGGAGAAGAGCCAGCAGGTCCTGGTAACACAGCCGTTCTCTAAGTCCCAGCTCTGGTGGTCTCTCTTCTCTCTGCACCATGCATCTTCACCTTTTCTTTGAGTACAGCCATTTTTCCCACCACATTCATACAGGTGGCCATCGCACCCTAACACACGTATAGACAAACAGATTCACATAGATACTCACAGCTCCATGTATTCAGGTTAAATGACCTGCAGAGCCTAAAACAGCAACCCTGAATTTTGCTGCCCATTCCTGAGGGAGAGAGAACCTAATGGACCCAACTCAAGCCAGATGTCCAACCTCTTGTTCATTCAGTTCCTGTTGGAGAACTGAGGGACTGGCTGCAGGTAGAAAGTCAAATTCTAAGAAAAAGGGTGTGTCTGGGATGAATAATCACCCTGACCAAGAGGTATCTGCCTCAGCATTTGCTGCTCATAACAACCTTATGAGGTAGCTTTGACCTCATAGGTAACAACCCCTAAGAGGTAGGATATTCAATTCATAATCCCTTGACAGGAAGTAATAAAGCTAAGGCTTGAACCTAGGGCAGTGTGACACCAAAACTTGACTGTAGTGCACTATCCACTTGGTCCATTAGCTAAGCCCAGCTCATAGCTGTCACCCAAGCAGGACACTGGCCACTGGGAGGCATTATCTAAAACAACAATCCAGTATTTGCCCTGTAGACAGGAGACAAAGGAACCAACTACATGAGGACACTGGCTAGAAGATAAGATTTTTCAGAAGGATCATAGGGCTCTGGAAGCCAGGAGAGACTGCTCTAAGCCCCAGGGTCTGAGGTTGCCAGGTTCATAGTGCAAGTATGACAGTCAGGGCACAAAAGGCTAATGTGCATATATTTACCCCCCAAAATCATAAACAGGCATCTAGAAATCCTCAAGAGAAGCTGGCACTTCTCTTCTGCACCCCAAATTCAAAGTGTCTGCCCAGCCCCTGGGGAGTGTAACTGCCCCTCTCAGCTCCTGAAAACCAGGTAGAGTGACTTCACTCACAAAGAGAGAAAAGAAGATATGACTAGCTCCTTTCACTCTAGAGGCCTCACCACAGGCAAGCATTTCAAAGCCCAAGTGTGTGCTTCCCTGGGAGATTCTGGGCCTTGTGTTGCTCTAACCTAAATGTCTTCAATTGTGCTCTGTCATCATTTCTACGCTGGTGAGTTTGCCTCCAGACCTAATAGGCCTCCAGTATCCAGGGAGGAAGTGCATGAATCACAGCCCAGAGCACAGCAGAAATCTCTTTGTCCCCCACATCAGTCCTTGATACCCACGAAGAAAACAACTCTGGGCCTGTCTCCAACAATCAAGAGCTATTTTTTAGGGAGTTGACAGTCATCTGGTTGAGCGGCAGGACTGTTTCGGTAACAGTGTCTGTGGTGGCCCGGGAGCACTTTCGGCTGCTGCGCATGCTGTACAACTTCTCAGTGAGGTGCTTGCGAAATTTCTTGGTGAGGAAGCAGTAGATGATGGGATCTAAAACACAATTGGTGCTAAGAAGGCAGAGGGTTACCTGATGTGCATCATTAATAACCTGATGGAAAGTGCTGTTCTGGAAGCCCAGCTCAGCCAGGGTCCAGGGCAGCTGCACCATGTGGTGGGGCACAAAGCAGATGACGAACACAGCCAAGACTGTGCAGACCATCCACAGGGCCCGGCGCTTGACTTCAGCGTTGCGCTGTACCTGCACCGGCTGTGTGAGCAGAGTGCGGATGATGATCAGGTTGCAGAAAAGGATGATGAGGAAGACGATGAAGAAACTGCACACGATGAAGATGTGTATGATGAGGACTGGCACACTGCCCTTCTCATAATGCTCAAAGCAGCGGGTGATGTTGTCTAAGCCAGCATTGCTGGTCACTGTATTGGTAGAGTCCATGATAAGAAAGTAGGATGCTGCGGCCACAATGGCTACCCAGATGATCGAGGACAAAATGATGCCACGCTTGCGGGTGGTGGCCTGAGCAGTTTTGATGGGCCGTGTTACTGCCTGGAAGCGGTTGTAAGTGATGACGCCCAGGAAGGCCACAGAGCAGTAGGTATTGATGAAGAAGAGGCAGCCAGCTACATTGCACAGGAATTTGGGGAGAATCCAGTTGCCCTGGTTGTAGTAGTAGACGATCCATAGGGGCAGGGTAACCAAGAAGAGCAGGTCAGCTACAGTGAGGTTCACCATGAAGATCTTTATCTCATTGAGTTTCTTGGAAGGGTACAGGCGGGCAAAGACCCATAGCACGTAACCATTGGCAATGACACCCAGCATAAAGATTATGCTGTAAACAATAGGGAAGAGGATATATCGGAACTCAGAATCCACACGGGAGAAATCACTGGGCTCCATTACTCTGGTCTGGAAGATGTTGCTGGTTAAAGGTTCCTGCGGGTGCCTGGAAGAGCATAAAGAAATTCTAGTTAATGAAGGGCCAAGAAGGAACTATAGTCATTTATCACTTCTAAGACTCCTATTTCACAGACTTTTAAAACTCTAAAATCAAGATATGCCTTAAAAGTGATGGCATCTTCCTGTTCCTTGGCAGTATTTTTGTTGTTCTAAGATTATATTTCAGCAGTTCATTTCTTTCTTTTTTTTTAAATGTTTTATTATGAACTATGTGATAGCTTACATGGAGAACATTAATTTTACATAGTTCATTTCTTTTTTCTTGCTGTATTTTAAAATATAACATTTTATTCTTTGGCTTACTTTGACTTAAAGTTTCAGGTAATTTATTTCAAGTGATAAAATTTTATATGTTAAAATCATTAACTTGGCTGATAAAACTTCAGTTTTTCTCTATGGATGGATTTGGAATAAATATTTGATGATAAAGTGTCTTATATTAAAAATATGAGGGGACTTCAAAAGGTTTGTGGAAAAAGTCCATTATCTTCCAATTCCATTTTTTCTCAAACTTTTTGAAGCCCCCTTGCATATGCTCATTAAATAATCTGGGAAATACAGAGAAATATAATATTAGAATCACCATAGAATGGTTAACACAGCCTTACTTGCTGATAGTAAAGAGGACTTGAAGCACTTACTGATTGATTACACCTTAACATAAAACAAAAATCCTCACAACTGGACAATAAGCAACATCATGATAAATGAAGAAAATATTATAGTTGTCAAGGATTTCATTTCACTTGGATCCACAGTCAATGCTCTTGGAAATATCAGTCAAGAACTCAAACAATGTATTGCATTGGGCAAATCTGCTATGAAAGACCCCTTTAAATGTTGGAAGATGTTACTTTGAGAACTAAGGTGCTCTTGACCCAACCCATGGTATTTTCAACAACCTCATATGCATGAGGAAGCTGCACAATAAATAAGGAAGACTGAAGAAAAATGGTTGCAAAGAATATTGAGTGCACTATGAACTGTCAGAAGAACGAACAGATCTTTCTTGGAAGAACTACAACCAGAATGTTCCATGGAAGTGAGGACAGCAAGACTTCATTTCACTTACTTTGGATATGTAATCAGGAGGGACAAATTACTGCTTGGTAGAGGATCAGCAAAAAAGGGTAAGTCCCTCAACAAGATGTATTGACACAGTGGCTGCAACAACATGCTCAAGAATGGCAACGATTGGGAGGGTGGCGTGGGACCAGGTAGTATAATGTTTTGTTGAACATAGGGTCACTGAAGATTAGAATCAACTCAATAGCACCTAACAACATAGAATGCAGGAAACTCAGATGAAGTAATAATGCATGTGGAGACACCTTCCTGGTTACCTAGTTCCTAAAAAGATGCTCCTAAGTGTTCATTTTTCCCTTGCTTCTCACTTCCAATTTTGTGATCTCTTTATTGCATGTTGATATGAAGACATTTCAAAAACTTCATGGAAAAATAGAATTAAAAGATAATGAAGGGAAAAGAGAAGTATAACACACAAAGGCAAACAAATCAGATTAAGCTTGGATCTCTCAACAGAAACCATGCAGGCAAGAATACAATGGGGAGGCATATATAAAACCCTGAAAGAAAAAACTTCCAACCAAGTATCCTCTAGCCAGCAAAGCTGTAAATCAAATACCATGGTGTAATCAAAACATTCCAGGATAAACAGAAGCTAAGGGATTTTGCCAAAGCCAACCCTTCTATGAAAAACATACTAAAGTAAGTTCTGTGGACTGAGAACCAACAAGAACAGACAACAACCAGAGAACGACGTATGTGGCAGCATCACCCTGAACTCAATCAACAAATGGAAGAATAAAATTCTAAGAACAGGGGATCTGAGAGATCAGTCTAACAATTACAATGTAAAAGAAGGTAAACACAGAGGAACAGAGACCCAGGTGGTGAGAAGGTCAGGTAGATTACAGGATAAAATAGACTGTCTTAAATGGAGGGAAGAGTTAATGGAATATAAGGTAACCACAACAGTGGGGTTGAGGTGGGGGGTTTATTTCAGGTGATGGGGAGGGCAATACAAGAAGGGGGAGGAGGCGGAATAACAAAATAGATAGGGGAACACTGAGAAAATTTTACATGGCCTAAGTGGGACAGAGGTAAATAGTGATGCATGCTCAACCTTGGAACAACAGGGCTCTGGGATACAGGGATCTAGGCATAGTTTGAAGAGGGGAAATAATGCTAAGATTCTTGACTATCTAATGAATATTGGTTTCCTTTGCCTACTGTTGTAAAATAGATACTTGAGTGGGATAGAAAGGAATGTTGGGAAACATGATCATAGAAAATTTATAAGCCCATCTTCAGCTTATAACTGATTGGAATACCATAAAGGGGTTCTAGAACTTGCCCAGTGAAATAGGCCTCTTGCAAAGCCTTTGCAGAGTATAAGACCTTAGGTGGAATCCTGAGTCCCATCCAGAACCTTATGAGGTTGGACATTCCCACTAGCAAGGACAAGTAGACCAAACTGAAACAGCTAGAGCAACAGAAGATACATCTTCAAAGAAAGATTATCAGGAAAACCCCAAAACAAAAATGGCAGCATTACTGGCTACAACAAGAATAAGCAAGCTGTTTTCAAGGAAGTCATCAAGGCAAGCAATCAAGTTCCTTCAGGCCAAATTCCCCTCTAAGACTGAAACTCAAAGGGAATACATGAACAGGCATGTAAGCTTGCTGACGACCACATTGGTCTACTGGTGAGTGGAAGAGGGAGAAAGGCAGCAATGAAGAAATGGGCTGAGTTCAACCCCATCCATTGATTCCTGTTGACCTGGAGATGGGAGAGAGAAGAGGAAGGGCTGGTTGGTTCAAAGTGTGGTGAGATCTAGGGACACTTGAGCCCGTGGACAAGAACATAGCCACAGAGGGCTAGAGCTGGAAGTGAATCATCCAGCTGATGAAGTGAGGGGAGATGCACAAGAACACCCAAACATGCATACAGTACCCTTTTGACCTAGCCTCGATGGCTTGATAATAATCAGAATTCAACTAGAGGAAGATGACAAAAAAAATAATAATAATTTTTTTTTATAAAGGAAACAAGGGTAAATTGCTACAATTTAATGAACCTGACCTATACTCATGAAGGTAGTAACTCTAAATACCAAAGAAAGGGAAGGGATCTTCACATCAAGTATCAATGCTATCCCCTCTGTACACAGGGTAGATAGGGACGGGCAACTTAGACATTGGCTACCTAAAATGAGGGGGCGATAAAGGCATGAAGTGACAGCTTACAAGGTTTTAAGAGGGAGTTTAGTTTAAGAGTATGGGGGGAAAGAAAGAATCCCCACTGAATAGTTTTCATCTTGTCTAGATGGGTCTGGTGAAAAGAGACGGGAATAAGATTCGCATGATTCAATAGTGAATAATTATTATCATGACTAATTGCGACTGTCACAATTGTAAAGTAAAGTTTTGTAACAAAAACAGGGGAGAGGTTAATCTTACAGTCCAGAAACAGAGGACCCTAGGACCATCAAGGGACAAGAGCAAAAGTAGAATGCAGGACCTTATCCAGAGAAGCAGCAATGCCAGAGACAGAAGTAGAGAGGGGTCATGGAGAGGGGGAGTGGCTGAGGACTCTAGATTCATGGGAAGAGAGGGATTAAGAGCTGGTGGCCAGGAGGCAGACTTGCAGAATGTGCCCTTTGGAGGTATAAATTATTATATATGCCTGAGTGTTGTTATTTTTAAAGCTAAAATGGATATAGGAAAATACTGTTAACTGATGGTACATGGAGGGGATTATAATCATTGTAATGAAACAAAGTGTATGATTTGTTGAATGTAAAACTGATGATCTGCCCTGTAAACTTTCACTCAATCCACAATAAAAATCTTAAAAAATAAAACAATGTAGCTTGTTTTTAGTGAATTCCTTATATATAAAATCATGGCATCTACCAAAATAAAGTTTTACTTCTTCCTCCCCCCCAAAAAAAGATAATGAAATTTTTCCATGAACTTTTGAACCACCTCTCTCCCCCATATGCGCTGGACTGCAAGATCGGTTTGAACCACAAGGTCGGTGATTCAAGCTCACCAACTGCTTCTCAGAAACCCTATACAGGGTTGCTATGAGTCGGAACTGACTTGACAGCACTTAACAAAACAACAACATATATGATGATCCTCAGGCCTCTCTTATTCCCAGCTGAATCTCTTGCTCTTCCTTCAATAGCTGCTTTCCTGAGTCACACTCAGAGCAAGGTAAACATCAGCAGGACTTCCAGGCTTACTGTTACTGTTACCATTGAATCAATGACAACTGTAGTGGGAGGAGCAAGAGAGGAGGGGGAGGAGCAACTCTTTAGAGGCAGACTAGAGAGTGGGGAAGAAGTATTGAAACTAGACTAGACCCTGGGTAGTGGAATTATGGCTGACTTTAATTTTTAATAAACTTTAAGAATCATTTTATATTGGAATAATTTTAGGCCTTCAGAGATGTTGCAAAAACGGTACAGAGAATTCATGTATGACTTTCACCCAACTGTCCCTAATGTTAACAACTTAAGAGAACCATATAGTGCAATGATCCAAACTAGCAAATTAATATTGAAACAATCTTGTTAATCGAAGTCTAGACCTTATTTGAATTTCACCAGTTTCCCTCTAGTATCCTTTTTCTGTTCCCGTAGCCAATCCAGAATCCCACACTGCACTTAGTTGTCATGTGCTCTGAAATTTCCTCTTGTCTACTACACTCTGGTAGCGTAGTGGTTACGAATCGGGCTGCGAACCTTAAGGTCAGCGGTTCGAAACTACCAGCCGCTCCGCGGGAGAAAGATGAGGCTTTCTACTCCCGTAAGGATGTACACCCTCAGAAACCCTGTACAGGGTCGCTATGGGTCGGAACCGACTCGACGGCACTTAACAACAACAACAACAACTACACTTTTCTTATCTTTCATGACCTTGATGGTTTTGATTAGTACTGATCAGTTA